ATGGATAAAAAAATGGACTTTTTGTTAAAGTTGATGGATAAAAAAATGGATTTATTTTTTTTTTCGGTTAAAGTAGAGTGTAGTGTTGTAAAAAACAATTGCTTCATTCACTGCTTAAAGTGATGAAGTGAAGCAATTAGAGGCACCAACGTTTCAAAAATACTAAAGTGCTCTACTTAACAGAAGCAACCCCAAAGTATTTGAAGTGAAGTGAAGTGATAAAAGTGCTTTGTTGTTGAAGTGATTACTTCTTTAAAAGACTCAAAATGCCTAGAAAACCTTTATAAATAAAAAGAAGTATAGAGGGATGAAGGGTTAAAATTGGAATTTTGGCTCCAATTAGGGCAAAAAAAAGGAAGTTTTTGTGCTTGTCTACTACCTCTTCTCCTAATTTTCTTTGTTACTTCATTGTCTTCCAACTTCATCATCTTCTTGAATCCCAACTTCATTGGTTCATCTACGATTAACAAAAAAGTCCTTTCTCATTTCTTATATATAGATTATATTATGTATATATGCATATTCTCCTTCCTATCTCTTCTTCCCTAATTTCATCTTCTTCCCTAACTTTATGAACATATTCTCTTCTTTTTTCTTTTTCTTTTTTTTTTAATCAGCAGATTATCTTAATTTAGCTAAGATAAAGTTTCATGGAAATGGAAATAGAATTCTCTAGTATTTTCTTAATTCTATGCATTTCCTTTGTATCTCTCCATTTATTTTTTGATTCTATTTCTTGTTGGTAGAACCTCTAGAGTTCAAATCTATCTAATTTAGGGGATCTTGGTTAAGAAACTTAATATCATATCTATAAAGTATAGATTGGCATAGGCAGTTTTCACTTTATAAGACTTCAAAATTTTAATTCCAAAACAAAATTTAGTTCTATTTGTACTAAGTAAAGTAGAATTTAATCTAAACCTATTTGCACTATATTCTAGTTTTCCACTCTTAATACTCTTAAGTTTCTCTTCTAATTAGTTCTATTCTAGCTAATAAGTGATCACTTCAAAGTGTTACTTGCATCACTTCAAGAAAGCAATTGCTTCACTTCTCACTTCAATGCTTTGGCATTTTTTAGGTCATTGCTTTGCCTCGCTTTGTGCCTTTAACAACATTAGTAGACGAATCAAAATGAGGTTTTAACCCTATAAAAAGGAAGGATGAAAAGATTCATTAAAAATTCGAGAAGATTCATAGAAATCTCAATTGATTCACAGCTAAATTGGCATAATAAAGTGAATAACACTATAGCTGCTTTTTTTTTTTGAAGAGTAGATCTATCTTTGTTTCTTATTTGAGAGACAGATTTAATGGTTTGGGTATTAAAAAAAACATTGGTCAAAAGTCAAACCTTTGTGTTTAAATTTTATTGGTCCAAATAATCAATAAAAAAGTTTTTACTTGAAAAGTAGCTAGGAAAATATTATATGGAAAGTTAATAAATTTTGTAGTGAAATTTTGTTAAAATTTTGTTGAGTTGTTATTTTCTTGTGTTTAATAAAAAATTGATATAAGGGAAGTAGGTGGAAAAGTTATTAAGTGGATTCTACACAACAAAAGTTAAGTAAAAACTTTTTCGTTACAAAAATTGTAAGAAGAGAAAAAGTTTATAAATTGAAAATTATATTAGAAAAAAATAAAAGTTAAAAATGTTAATTTTACCCTCATTTTATTATAATATTAATATATAAAAATATATAAATAATCTTATAAATTTTTTTTTTAAAAGTTTAACGAGAAAATTTCGCCTAACCAAACAGCCTCTAAGAAAAATGTCTAAAACAAAATGTTCTAAATGGCTCTAGAAGATTAAAGAAAACCTTAGTCTAAAGTCAAAAGTTTGTGTCTAAATTTTATTAGTCCAAATAACCAAAAATTATTTCAAGTATATTTGCGAATTCTTTTCTCTTATGGCCAGCCAAAACAACAAGAGTATGCCTGAGGAATATTCCAATTCCTCTTTAAAATAATCTAAATTTAACTATTAATTTGATAGATAAAGGTTGAATGCTAATTTTGGTCCTTCAACTTTAGTGGTTTGCATTTTTCGGTCCCTCAACTATTTTTTTGCACTTCTTTGATCCCTCAACTCCAAAAATTACACAATTTTAGTCTCTCTGTTAATTTCAACCATTAACTCTTTCACATGGAATTTCTTATATTTTTTTGATGACATGGAGAAAACAACTTAAAAAGATGTTGATATGGATAAAACATTATGCCATGTCATATTCCAACCAATCAAATGCGGTGAAACCCCTCAAATGTGTCCCACATTACCTGTAAAGAACCAATAAAGAAAGATAATGTCTGTGAACCCTAGAATGCTCCAACTGAGATTGAACCTAGTAGAATTTGGGTTCTTTATCGTCAAACCCAACTACTGGGTTTCATTGAAGCCACTTGCTGGATTCATCAAACCCAGTAGATCTCATCAAATTAAATAAACCACTCAATAAACAATGTCAATCAAACTCTAATCAAATTTCAATAAAAATGCAATCAAACTCTAATCAAATTTCGATAAAAATGCAATCAAACTGTAATCAAATTCCAATAAAAATACAATCAAATTGTAAATCAACTCCCAAATTTATCAAGAACAGCTCTAAAGAAGAATGGAAATCAACCCAGCAGGCTGTGTCGAACCCAGTGAGGTCTCGACAAACACAGTTAGGCTAGGTCTTGGCAAACCTAGTGTGGCTGGGTCTCGGCGAACCCAACAGAGCTGGGTCTCGATGAAGCCAACAGAGTTGGGGTTTGATGAAACCCAACAGATCTGGGTTTCTTCGAGACCTAGCTCTGCTGGTGGTTCCACCAACCCAGGGATAGGAAAGAAAGAAAGAAAGAGAAAGAAAAAAGGGAAAGAAGATGGATTGAGAGGGTGAGGGTAATAGCGTAATTTTGTTTGTTTTTATTTTTTTATTAAAAAATATATATATTCATCTATGTGGCAATTTTATTTATTCAGATAATATAATTATAAGATATATTATTGTCATGTCATAAAAAAAATTAAAAGAAAATGCCATATGAAATTATTTAACTACACATCATACTTAACTGATAGAATGACCAAAATTGTGCAAATTTTAGAGTTGAGGGATCAAAAAAATGCAAAAAATAGTCAAGGGACCAAAAAAGTGCAAACCACTAAAGTTGAGGGACCAAAATTAAAATTTAACCATTTGATAAACTTAATTTTAGTGGTGCTAACTAATAACCCATGTGGACTCTAACTTTTAATATATGCAGCAAAAGATATATGTTAAGAGAAGCTCCAGGTAGAGTAATTGGTTGCTCTTCACATGGCGCTTTTCACCAGACTCGAGTTTGAGTCCTTCCCACTCTCCCGTCCCCCCACAATGTAACTTTGTTCAAAAAATAGAAAAAAAAAATACATGTTAAAATACTAAAAGTTGCACGGCGATACACTATTAACTTGAAATGGTATGTTGAAATTTTAGTTAAGTTTAATTGGGTTCCACATAAATAATAATAATAAAAACAAAATATATATTTTAATCTTGAAAATATCCATATTTAACCCCACCTCGCGGTCCGTTAGCTTTTTGAAACTAACGCTGTTAGGGTAGAGACGCCAACAATGCAGTTTTTTGAAGTAGAAGGACCCCATTGAACTGTTAATCCATGTACAAGGATCCTAATGAACGATTCTATAGTAGAGGGATGGTTATGAATAAAAAAATCAAAGGACAAGTTTGGCTTTAACCCTTTTTCCTTTTGGTAACAAATAGATATGGAAGCTTCACAATATGGTATCTGAATTTTGGTAACAAATAGATATGGAAGCTTCCCAATATGGTATCTAATCTAATACATGGTCCATTGCCTATTTTCAAAAAAAAAAAAAAAAAAATCTAAAAGCTGAAACCAACTAAGTAAAATGATTTAAAAACAATTTTTACTATATAAATTTTTTAAACAACCTTACTTATTATTTAATGATTGATTTTTTTACTATATTATGATCCATAATATTATATGTATCTATTTATTTAATAACTATGGAGTTTGTAACTAAAAATTGTAAAACTAGGTTGTCTATATATCATTACCATACCCCTTTATATTTTTTTTACTTAAATTTAGTTTTTTTATACTAATTAAGAAATTATTTGTCATGTTATTAATTAGGGAAATGGTTTGTATACCGTGCAAAATTATACATTTCGTTATACACTGATGATTTCCGTTATTTGTGCCATTAAAACTGACGGTTTCTATTATTTATGCTATTAAAATTGACAGTTTTTGTTAATATATAACAAAATGTGTATCTGTGTATGGTATATGTATTATTGTTTTATTAATTAATATAAAGAACCACAATTTATTAAAAGGCAAAAGAGGAAACAATTTCTTTTGTTATAATTTTTTACCAAATAAGAAGAATTTTATTAAATGAGTGGAGTGCAAATGCCCCTTATTCACCTATCACCTTATTTCTTTGGCTAACTATATTTCTCAAGAGTCTTAGTATTTTGTAATTTAAATTCTACCGTATTGTAAAATTTTAATTATTAAATGAAGAGGTCCCTCTCCATTATCAGAAGGCTACTCTCTAATCTAATCTAACGTTTATTATTTTGTTTGAAACTGTAAAACACCTTTTTGATTTTTCAATATCAAATGTATTAAATTATACAAAATTGCACAACACTCAATATAAAATGGGAAGTGGGTCTTCCTATTTTATAGTTTGGAGTATAAAACACACTACACTCAATAATCATTTATATCCTCTTCACCTCTTCTTAAACACCACATCTCAAAAGCTCAAGCCTTAACCATATACATCCCTAGCTCAATGAGATCATCCTTACAGGACACCATGGACCAGCCTCTACTCCATCCAAAACCACCATCTCCACCAACTCCAACACATGAATCAGGCAGCGAAGAGCTTGAAGCTATATTATCCAACATGGAGCTTCCACCCGCGCAGCGCCTTATGCGAGCTACGTGGATTGAGTTGAAGCTCCTCCTCCGCCTTGCAGTGCCAGCTGTTATCGTTTACATGATCAATTATCTCATGTCAATGTCCACCCAAATATTCTCTGGCCACCTCGGTAATCTAGAACTTGCGGCTGCCTCCCTCGGCAACACTGGCATTCAAATCTTTGCCTATGGACTAATGGTAAATACCCCACCTCATCATCATATATCTCCATTCCTCTTAATTAATTTGTACTATTTTTTGCTGTTAAAGCGTAGTAAGACAACAGGTCGATAGCTGCCCACAACTCAATGCTAATTGCTAAGGACGTACGCTGCTTAGGGGTGTGGGTATTACTGATAAACTCACAAGTGAACATTGAATATAATACCTTGGTTTTTATTGACTTCATTCATATTAATATATATGTCGATACTATAAACCAAGCTAATATATTAGTATTTTCTTTCAAGAAGAAGCTTAGTTAATTATAATTAATTATTAATCAAAAAAGTATTTTACAGAACAAAAAATTATGTGTTAAAAGTGTAGTTTGTCATATAAATTTATTAAAATATTCTTAATAAAATTATTTTATATGTTATTTTATTAAAAATATTTTAGTAAATTTATAAGATTATTACATTTTTAATGTATAGTCTATATTATAAAACATGAATCTCATTATTAATTTTACATGAAGTATCTATTTATTTATCCAATACCAGAAAATACAAAATGTTTTTCATCTTGTTTTTCTATTATCTTGTAGTTAGGGATGGGAAGTGCAGTGGAGACACTATGCGGACAAGCTTTTGGTGCACACAAATACGACATACTTGGCATATATCTTCAAAGAGCCACTATTTTACTTTCTCTAACTGGAGTTCTCCTTACCATCATTTACATCTTCTCCAAACCCATCTTATTATTTCTCGGAGAGTCAGCAGAGATTGCATCAGCAGCGGGAGTCTTTGTCTATGGGCTTATACCCCAAATATTTGCATATGCAGTAAACTTTCCTATACAAAAATTCCTCCAAGCTCAAAGCATAGTGACCCCAAGTGCATACATATCTGCAGCCACATTAGTGTTGCATTTGGTGCTGACTTGGGTGGCAGTATACAAGGCGGGGCTCGGCCTGTTGGGCGCGTCGTTGGTTCTTAGCTTGTCATGGTGGATAATCGTGGTAGCTCAATTTGTTTATATAATTAAGAGTGAGAAATGCAAAAAAACATGGAATGGGTTCAGCATTCAAGCCTTTGCAGGGCTGCCTGCATTCTTCAAGCTGTCTGTGGCATCAGCAGTGATGTTGTGCTTGGAGACGTGGTACTTTCAAATTTTGGTGCTTTTGGCAGGTTTGTTGGAGAACCCAGAATTAGCTCTGGATTCTCTCTCCATTTGGTAAGTACATTCTTCATTTTTCTATTTTGTTTGAATGCATGCATTTGTTATTGTTATTATTATTTTTTTAACATTAATTAATATACTATTTGATTTAACACACGGTATAATATTTATTGAAAAATCATTATTTTCTCATATAAAATTAAAGGTAAATACACAAAATGTAAAAATTAACTAAATTAATTATATTTATATTATATTTTAATTATTGAATTAAATAGATATGAGAATGCATTTTAAATAAGAAGTATAACAATTATTTTTTTAATTGGTAAAAACAATTTTATTCTTAAGAAGCACAAGTGCTACTCTAATGCTTACACCATCATATATATAAGTTAATACATTGATTAGTTGAATGCGATTTCATCATAGTTATTGTCAAAACAGAATCATGGGCATGCCTTATATGCATAATCTAATTTTATTTGAATAGACCTGAGTGCAAAGATATTTAGTTGTCCTTTCCTCTAGATCAGTGATCCTATTTTCTAGGCTTAATTCCTTCACATTTTGTAATTTTGTAATTTTTTTACTAACATTAAAAATTTTTTATTAAAACAACTATAAGGGTATTAATTCCAACTCATTGCCAGTATTACATTTTCAAAAAAAGGCCCCAAAACCTCTCTCCACCCCTAATCTCCACTAAATAGGCTTCAGAAACAGATACATGTCCCTATGAATCACATGCCTTTAAGCACTCCGTGGGGTGAGAAATCCAATCCAGAAAAAAAAATGAGGCCTTCTTAGTCTTTTGCCTTAATCCATAAAAGATTTTATCTACTCGAATTTCTTGTTGTTCAAATATCTTCTTATTTCTTTCACTCCATTTGGCCCAAGTTAGCACAGACCACAGCAGCATCCATCCCTTTCCTTTTGCACCAGCCTTTGTCCCTGCTGTTGAAAAAGCTCAGTTTACATGAGTTTCTTAGAGGACCTAATATCCCCTACCCTCCATAGCTCTTGCACCATAGCCCTTGAACCACTTTACACCCAACAAAGAGATGATCATTTTCCTCATCCAGTTTCCCTGCACAAAGAACACACTTTAAGTCAGCTTTATCATGAATAAATCCCCTATTCCATGCCAGTTTGCACAGCCACTTGTCCACTTGAGAGTTGCCTTTCATTAAAAGAATGTATATTAATTGATGAGTTCACTATGTATTTCCTATTATATTGTTTTTCAAACACAACAGTCCTCATTATCTAGAAAGACCATAAAATAATTAATTAAGTTGCAAAACTCTCTAAATAAGTCTACCTTCAAAATCCTTCTCCAATTCCAAACCCCCATTTTCATCGATCCCTCTATTAACCATTTCTGCCACCATCGCTTTTTGGTTCCTAGATCGGCTATGAAGGCCTTAGAAACTTCCTATTTAGTGGCATTTCCGCTACACAGCTATCCATCTAGAAATTTGTACTACTCCCATTTCCTACTTTTCTCACAATCCCTTCCCTTAACCACCCTTCCTTTCCTAAATCGACTATAAAGCCTTAGATATAGTTACAATTTTATATTCTTATTTTACCCAATATTATTTTTCCCTTCAAATAAAATATAATTACAATTTTATGTGAGACTTTAATATTACTATTTTAAGATGTATAATCATATAATTTATTATTTTTATTTAAAAGACCACACACAAAATTATTTATATTTACTCCTCTGATGTTACATCATCATTATAAACTTAAAATCCTATATTGCACTATAATTATATCGACATTGTTTGCCTTCAATTATTTCTCTGTAAAGTTTAGCAATGATGTCGTGCATAACTTAAATACTAACATACATAGATTTGCAGCATGACAATAACTGGATGGGTGTTTATGATCTCAGTTGGCTTCAATGCAGCCGCAAGGTTAGTATATAATGCAAATGCGACTTTTGTTCTTTCTTATACATCCTTTATAGTGACTTCATTATTATTGTTGTTGGGGAGGGGTCTCTGATACGGAGTAATTAAGTGAGAGTGCTATGAACTTAGCTCCTTTAAGTTTTCGCCCTCAAGTTTAATTACTACTACTTATCGATCTAATTTCATGTGTACAAATATGAAAATTATTTGAGATTGAGTCCTAATTAATTATTTGGCTTATTCTTTTAAAATTATTATGAAAATGTCATTGATTTAAGCTAAAATTTAACTTTCAACCCACTAAAAATTATTTTATAAAAATGAATAAGTGTTTTATAATTTGAACTGTAAAACACTAACTCTTAAAATGAGAAAAGGCTATGGATATTGGGACCCTCTCCCCATGTAAGGGTACTGTTTTAGCAGAGTCTTTACAAACAAAACGTGTCCCCCTAAGAAAGAAAGTTAGTGTATCTGCCCCTCCCTGATCGTTTTCACTATATTCGACCAATTGCAGTGTGAGGGTTGGGAACGAGCTGGGAGCGTCGCATCCAAAGTCAGCATCATTCTCAGTAATCATCGTGACAACTTTATCTTTCATCATCTCCGTGATCGCAGCCATACTAGTATTAGTATTCCGTAACGTCCTCAGTTACGCCTTTACAGAAGGAGAAGTGGTGGCTGCGGCAGTTTCAGATTTATGTCCTCTTTTGGCAGTCACACTTATCCTCAATGGCATCCAACCTGTCTTATCTGGTAAACGAATTAATAACTTAGCAATGTCTTGTTTTCTTCTTCTTAAGGAAATTAATTAGAATAAAAGATGACATGTTTGTTGGAAATGAATGAATGAAGGTGTGGCTGTTGGTTGCGGATGGCAAGCTTTTGTGGCGTATGTGAACGTGGGATGTTACTACGTGGTTGGGATTCCTTTCGGATCACTTCTTGGCTTTTACTTTAAGCTTGGTGCCAAGGTATATTTTTTAAAATGGGAAATTTGGGAAGGAGTAACTAGCTAGTAATTACAACTACAATTGGTTACCAAATTCCTCGGTTTTTGGGGACATGATTTTTTTTCTTGTTTAATGAAAAATATAATGTCATTGATATATGAAAACTCTAAGGGTTATAAGACCAACCCAAATAGGATAATATATCAATGCAAAATCAAATAATCTAATGTTTATATGAATATTGTAGTCAGATCTAAACTCGAGATTTAACAGTTAAGTTGCATTCTAGTATAATTTATCTAAATCGAAAATAAATTGGTTGGGGCAAAAAAAATTTTGCTAGGTCACATTGATAGGCTTGAAGAGTGATAAATTTTAGAAATTGATACAATAAGTCCATTTATATTGGAAAGTTTGTCATAGGTATAATAGCATAATGCAGTCACATTATGAATGACTTAATTATTGAAAATAAACATTTATGAACTTCATTTTATACATTTTTCAGAACATAAGGAGGTACTAATTATCAATGTACTTTGTCCTAAATTGAAGTTTCGATCAATATAATGATAATATCATGAATGTTTGCAGGGAATATGGTTGGGTATGATAGGCGGCACAACCATGCAAACCCTCATTCTTCTTTGGGTCACATTTCGAACTGATTGGAATAAGGAGGTTAGCCTCATTACATATTTGCAAATTTTCATGAATTTTCATTCTTGTTGTTAGCCAATATCTTCTTCTTCTTCTTCTTCTTTTTCTTCTACCTTTGTTTGATTCATCTTTTAACAATGGTAGGTTGAAGAAGCTGTGAAAAGGTTGGACAGATGGGATGATAAGGAGCCTCTTTTGAAGTAAAATTGTTTTCGAAAAACCGCCCACAAAACCATCGGCAATCAATCAATAGAAGTTATGAGAGATAGATGACCCTTCCCAGATTCAATAAGACAAGTAGTTTGTCTATAGTAATGCATGAAGACTCTTGGCACTATTGAACTCTTGTGTGCTAATAAACTAGGCAATTTGGTCACCTAGACCATAATATATTGGTACACCGAACAAGTAGAAAGTATGAATCAAACAACCATTAATTGTGAACAATTGCTACCATTGAGTTTTAGAGGATGTCACAGTTGAATAAATTAAATAATTTTTCCTCATCAGATCCACTTAAAATCCTTATAAATTGATCTGTAGTTAATGAAGTGAGGCTGGTTCATGCCTCGCGGGTGCATTGCTTTAAATTTGCTACTTTAACGATACCTAGAGTACAGTAGAACTCCTCAAGCAATGATCTGTGCACACATCTTCGAGATTAAAAGAAGTCCTCATTTATCGAGTGCTAGATTGAGTGAATTTCATATTCTTCTTTTCTTAAAAGTTGTTGTTCTAAAATCAAGAGGAATTTTGATGTAACTCCTATTGAAATATTTAGCTAGGTTTTCTATTGTAGAAGAAGAATTTTCTTTTCTTTTTGCAATGTGTTTTCTCCTTCTATTTATACCAACACCAACAGAAAATTTGCTATGACATTAAGCTTACTTTATCTCCAAGTCTTGGTAGAAAGGAAATACTCATAACAACAAATATGTACTGCCATAGTCACAGCTGAGAAACTTCACTCAGGATAATTTTTCACATGATTCTCTCACCTTCTAGAAGTTTAAACTGTTCGCGGGAGGAAATAAGCCCAAATATTTTGTACACTACTAAATACTTGCTACTTATTCAAATTTTGGACATTATTAAAGAATGTACAATGAAAAACACTCAAAAGTCAAAAAGCTCAATTTGCATTATTTTATATAAATTTACAATTATATATATATCTTCCGTAAAAAACCTAACAAAATTCCTCTCGAATTTATATTTTTTATATTCAAGTTAAACCAATTTAAATTTAGAATTGAAAAAAAAAAAGAAAAAAGAAAAAGGAAAAATGTTAAACTTGACTGCAGCTCCTGACGTTAGCCCTTTTTTTTAGTACTTTTAAAATGTTTGAAAATTAAAAGAGAGCTTGTTTTGTGCAGAAAAAAGGCTCTCTTGAAAACTCACCTCCAATAGATAAAAATTATGTCTCTGTTCTTTTTTTGAGAAAAAAAACAAAAATAAAAAATAAAAAACACCTTTGTTCGTGCTCTTAGCGCCGCCGGGACATCATTCATGGGTGTCAGAAGTAGCATAAACTCGAAGACTGTAGAAATACAGTAATAAAAATGAATGCACCATTCACTGGATAATTAAAACATCAGTCATAAAAGCAATAGTAATCTTCAATTGCTGATTTGCTGATATGGATAAGAGTGAATGCCGAAGACTGAGAATGTAAATCTTCTCGAGACTAGGATTACTGTTAAGTTTTTCTTCAACAGAAAGGGTGAAACACACTTGACATTCCCCTAAAGACTCACTCACCAACAGCAACAAAAGGGATTCCCCTGTAGGTAGAGAATAAAAGTACAATTAGTGGGTCATACATCTGCTCCTATCCTTCCCTTAATGATTGGACTTTGAAAAGAGTGTAACAAATAAAACAAATAATTAGGGCATAATTAGCAGATCATGTTTATTGTATCAAAAAAAAAAAAAAATTGTAGATCATGTTTTATTTTCTTAAGTGACCTGAAGACTTAGTGCTGATAATCACCCATAGCCAACATATTAAGAATTTGAAGAGTTATATTTTTACCTATGTTACCCTTAAAAATAAAAAAATAAAGAGATTTTTTTATGATATGATGAATAATTAAAGTCACGAGATAATGATAAGATTAAAGTAGAAAAAAAAATCTCTCCCTTAAAATATGAAAGAACAACTATTATTGTAAAATAAATTCTAAATAAAAAAATGTTTATTATTTTGAAATGGAGGGAGTAGTAAAGGAAACCCTCATTTGCAACCTCAATATTAATTATTTTCATGGTGAACACCCTCTAAATTTTAATTTCTGGCTTTTTCGTTTATTCAAATTCCTCTTACCACTTGAATATGAAAATGTCTATTGTTTTGCTTTGGCAGCTTACCTTACCTACACAAACCGCTTATTGTTTCTTTCTTTGGTTGACTAAAGTTGGTTTGTTTCTTTGGTTGACAAAAGATGTGTGCTTTTTATGCTTGGGAAATTGGATTGTCAATCAGTTACTAGGTAGAAGACTGGGTTCTCTTTTTCTTTCTGATACTGACTCAAGCATGTATACTTCACTCCAAAATTCAACTTAAGCATTCTATTTGTTGTTCACTCATTATGGTTGAAACATACATTACTGAATACTGATACAGTATAGCTTTTATATCGTCTTTCTCTTCATATCTCTGAGTAAATATATTGATTTATGGAAGTTGGATATTGGTGCTATTTGTAGTCTTGTTGCAAATTAGCTGTTGAGCTCTATTTGCTAGACTTTCGCTCGTGGATGTGGATGGTTGGAACTTTCGTATCAATCATGGTCTTTTGTTTCGTTGTATGGTTGATTTAAAGCTTAACAGACAAATTTATTTTCCATGTCCAGCAACTCCGCATTTTGTTCCTTTTCTTTTCTTGTGTTTCTTTTCTCAAAAATTCTAATTTCTTCTCTCCTTTTCATCTGCATTTCATTTTAGCTCTCTAATATTTCTTCCTATTTCCTTTTTCGCGAGTAGCTTTTCCCTTTTTTCACAATTAGCTTTAATGGCTGCCAGCAGTTACGGGGGTTTGAAATTTATTTCTTTCTCTTGCATTTAAGGTGGATGAAATGTTAAATTCCCCCTTCTCTGTGCTATTAGAGTTTGCAATTCTGTGTTCTACGTGTATGGATTTTGTTTTCCTTTATTTCTTATACTTATTTATTTTGCCCGAATTTAAACTATTTTTTTCTTTATTTCCTAATCACAGTGTAAAGATAGAACTCCTAATAGAAGTTTTTTTATTTGTTTGATCAGATTCTATATTTACCAAGGAAATTATGGGTTAGGTGAGGAAACATTATGACAAAGCCATCTGTTGACTAGGTAATAGACTAATGGTGGGTCTTAATTTGGTCCCTTTTTTTTTCTTTTTTTTTTTTTCATTTTTCTGCCACCATTTAAAATCATGTTAATAATTGTATAATTGTAAATGCGAAAACTAAAATAAATTCTTTTGCTTTTATCTAGAGAAACGTTTAAAATAAAGTCATTTTGACAAAGATGCTCACCATCCTCCATGCCTTGAGAAGTAATCATTATCCAGAGATATAGCAAGAGCAAGAGTGACAGCTCTCTCTGACAGACTCAGTGGTCGAATGACATCCAACTCTTCTATCTACTCAAAACCAATAAATGCATGAATGGATGAATGTGTTGAAGATTTGATATGGTTTGGAAAGTAATCAAGTTTCAAATGTGGTACTTTACCTTGCTTGCGAGGCCAGTCTTGATGCTAGGATCAGAACTCCCAAATCGTATCACATACTGACCCGCATCGGTAAAGATCTGCATGTATGCCAAAGATTGAACAATGATTCAGGTATAATTAAAACATACCATCCTCACTTTAAAGTAATCTGCAAAAACAGCAAAAATCTACCCAAAAAAATTAAAAAAAAAAAAGAAAAAAAGGAAAGAAAAATTTTGAAGCAAGTAGCAAGCAAGTTGGCTATAAGTGCAAAATGCAAGACCACACAAGATACCCCCACCCCTTCCCTAACACAAAAAACCCAAAATCAGACAGATTTCCTCAATAATTGCCCATCTCTTCCATCTTCCTCTAACTTGACTATTACCTTATCCACAAGGATCATCGCCATCAGGCTTAAATGACATACTTCAACTTTCTTTCTTGACCAACTCCTGACTCACTTACCTTAACTTTTCAATGAATCAGCGATGCAAAATAGGAGTGTGGAAGAATGAATACTAACAAATAGATGGCAGCAACACTCTCTTTGGGACTTTCCTTCAAACATTATAAAATTGGTGCACTTGAATTGGCTTTTTTTTTTCAAAAAAAAAAAAAATGATGCACTTGACATATCTTTCTATGACTGGTGATGGAATAAAAAAGCTGAAAGAAAGCAGAAAAACCTCAAAGCCAAATCCCCTCCAGTCACGATCAATTTGAGCCAGCACCTGCCCATCAATGTCCTTCAAAGTGAAAGTCCAGTTCCAAAAGCCAGGATTTTCAACCACTGCAAACTGCTTATTCCTACAAATAACACAGCCCAGGGCTTGATAAGCAAAATAAGGTAAAACCAAAAATATAAAGATCCAACTAAATGATAACTAAGTGAATTAGAAGTGAAATAACACAAGTTTTTCAATAAATAATGAATGCTTCAGCCATTGACCTATTATGAGAAATGTACAGTAACTGCTTTGAAAGTGATGAGAAAAGAGAAAGGTATTCTTCCTGGCAGGACTTTACAAGTCAAAAAAGACCATGCACAATGGAAAAGAGATGAAAAGGATACCATTTTCCCTTCTCTTTTCAATTTCCTTCTTTATTGTAGAAGGAGAAAACTGGGGCTTAACCCCCCTAGAAGCCCTCTAAGTATTTGTCTTTGAGACAATTAACCCCTCAACATACAGTGTACTTTAGCCCATAAATTTTATGTTATTGTTGTAATTAGTCTAAAATAGATAGAATCCTATCATGTGTCATGTGACCATATTTATGCTAGCATGATGCTAACAAGGATAGGTACCAACTCGACTAGGCTCTTTTTGGTAGCATTTATAAGTTATAACACTATGGCATGTATTTTTATTATACCGACAATAAGCACCCCAAATCAATCCAGTTTTGAACCTCAACTAATTAAGGACTGTAAAATCATGAACTTTAATTACATATGGCAGTTATTGTAAATCTTAATTGAAGAAGAGGATGTCAAAATTACCCCAAGTACAAATCATACACCCTCTTCCAAAGATGCCATCTTCTGTGAACCACCCCAATTTCCTAGAAAGGAAATAAATGTTTTACATCCTTGAGGACCAATTTGTGTCATAACGTTCCTATAGTGCATCAAAACCAAAGTGAAAATATGTAACGTTGCATACCTTACCATCAATCTCTGCATAGATTGAGCTGTTAATCCACCAGAAGGGCCTACGAACCTGGATGTTGTAAATAAGCCTCAGAAATGAAACTGCAGTATGGTGAGACCTTTAAGGCCCAAGATTTATTACATGGTTAAGACTTCAAATACATGAGCACACATAAAATCCATACCCTGAAAATCTCAATACCCAGGGCATCAGAAATGTAGGCAACAAATGGACGCCTTAAGCGGAGCAACTGCATAAAGAAGGCTTTCATCAGCACATAAAAACCCTAAATTTAGGAAAGCAACAACCAAAAATCAGAAGAAAGAAAAATAATGGATCCAGATCTAAGCAAATAGATAACAGATCATGGACAATTCTATATCTTCCAAAATTGGTCAACTATAGTTTCTAAAGAAACTCTTTGCCTTGAAGTTAGATTAGGTATTTACAAGGATGCAAATTTTTTTACCAAAATAGATAAAGCTTAATTTCCTATACACAATTCTGTCTCTTGATTTCATTCTAAATCACGAGATGCCATCAAAAAAACCTACTAAAAATGTAAGACAACTAATAGAAATCCAGAACTCCATCCAAAATAACTTTACATCAACTTTCTTGTGATTGATAAACTCTAACAATAATTTACAACCAACAAAAGTCCAACAAATACTTCATCAAAAGAAAGTCAAACATATGCCATTTGTTTTTTTCAGCCTTTTTGATACACTGAACGGATTTAAACTACCAAATATCACCCTTCTATTATTTATTTACTTATTTTGATTAGTTGGATTTGAACTCAGACTTATATCAGCAGATGCCCATCCTTCAATTCAAGCTAAAATCCACTGTTCTTTTGGATGAATTAACACTTTCCCAAATGTTTAGAGTGTTGCTATCCATGTTAGATAATAATAGATCATGAGCAATTTTGGCTTGTCATTCTGATAGAGACATCTAATAAAGAGAAGTTTGTGGAACTCTTAGGTTAGATAGGAGCAATAAGGCAAAATACATTTTAGCAATTTAGGGGCAACAACAGAGTTTGTGTAAGTTCAGATTGAATTGGACACTAAGTTTGGATCACAATTATACTGATTACCAATCAAAAGTAGCTCTACTATTGTAATGATACCAATACAGCGTCAGTTGTATTGTACAAAGCGTATAGACTGGAAGACAAAGCTACAAATAGCTAAAGTGAAAACTGATGCACCTATGACCATATCAAAGATAATAAAATAGAACAAAGCTAAAGCAAGCTCTTTTAAGTTTACACACTATCTAGGAGCTATCTCGATCTCTTCATCAACAATAAAGCCTTTTCTTCATGCAATAATCTATTGAACTTTAAAAATTTGAACTTAAAGGAACAAAAAAAGATCTTCATTTCTTCAGGAGGGATCATGAATGGAAGTTATTGCAAGTGAATATGGATGAGTGAACGAAGTGTTTATACAATAAACAGAGTGATTAAAAACCATCTAAGAATCACCCAATAAAAGGACTATAGAACAATGAACGGAACAGCAAATGTATGGTGGTAGGTCCACAAACTAGCTGGTGTAGACAGGTTCCCAGCAAATCAAATCCAAGCTTGAATGTAAAATAAAGTGAAGCAAAATGAGACATTAATGACAATGATTATATAACTAATTATTACCATAACAGAAAATAAGACGATTTCTCAAAAAATTCTGAAGAATAACATAAATCACCTGTCTGGCAATCACATTACTTTGTTCACGAATAAAACCAACAGGCTGCAATTTAAAAAAGAAAAAAAAAAGCAATTTTAGAAATTCTAAAAAACAGAATAATAAGCTTTTTCTTGAAAACTTGATTCTGTAGGTAACAAAACCCAGAGAATTATCACTTCTACCAGAAATCATAGTGAAGAGAAGAAATAGAATAAGCTTTTGGTTACCTTCTACCAAAAAAATGGAAACAAAACCCTAGGGAAGAGAAAAAAAAAAAAAAATAGAGTAGTTACTGATTGTGGGTAGCAGACATCAACAATTGCATAGCGGTTCTCCTGCAATTTTAACAAATTCAATTTCAGTACATCTGTTAGTTGGGAAGGATAAACAAAAGAAGAAGAAGAAGAAGCAGATGAAAGGAAGAAGTTGATGTCATTTTCAAGTATGATAAGTGTGATCAGATCATGCAGCTAGTTTTATGATAGTTAAGACAAGAGATAAGCAAACATCAAAACTGTATTCAGTAGCAAGGTAGATGAGTAAGACAACAAAAAAGACATTTTGATGAGAGGTAAAGGATTTGGCAAAACTATCTAAAATTAGAATTTTTATTTTTTGTCAGTTGCACATGAACCAAACCTAGTCAGAGACAAGATCAAGTCCATGCATTTAACCAGATGTACAAACATCTTAAAACCTAACTTGGATGATTAAGAAAATTATGCAAAAGTAGGATTTTGAGCAAGAATGCTGATTTCCATCAGCTTGCATAATAAGACTTCTATACGCAAGAGTTGACAATGGGCATGAAACAAATCCAGAAAAACTGAGATGACCATTGAAAATGGTCATGTTTACAAACTCCTCAACCACCTAATATCAGCTAAAAGATATCTCAACTAGAAAATAAGTTAATAAGAAATGTAAAACTCTTTCTTTTTACTTACCACAAAACAAAATTCAACTTGCCTTAATACAGATCAAAGTAAACAAATATGCTGAAACATAGACATCAATCAGCTTTCAAGCAATGAGCATCTCAAGTCGCTACTTCTCTTAAAGCCAGAAATAAATAGTGACATACAACATTTCTATATCCTAGAAGCATATTACATGTTCAGAGCAAATACAAAAATTGAAGTTCTGCTGCAAGTATCATTGATTGAGGAATAACTGATGGGAGAGGGCAAAAAAAGATTACCTGTTCAAAACCAAATACAAGATTTGCCCATTCAATGTCACGGGTAATAAGCAAATTGGACCTAGCAAGAAGAGGTGCTACCAGAAACTAAAATAAAGAATCAAAGAGCAAGTCATTTACATAATTTTTCAGATTCTAGCAATAAGAGATGAACATGTTAAAACCTTCTAAACAAGAAACACTTGAGAGAAAAAAGAAAAAAGAAGAAGAAGAAGAAGAAGAAGCAAATGTTACATTACTGTTATAACCTACTTATTTTTTGAAATTTCGGAATAATGCTCATAAAATTATTAAAAAATAATAATAATAAACTCAAAATACCAATTATAGAACCCTTCCTATCCAAAATAGATAAATAAATAAGTAAATCACAAAACAAGATTTGTAAAACTTAGCTGCCACTGTTCAGAGGTAAAATGTGGAATTTAATAAAGAAATTAACTATTTTGATCGAAAATGCAACAGCAAAGTACAAGTTAGCAGTAGACAATTTAAATAGAAAACATCACATCCTGACTTGATCAATGCAGGGAAGAAAATATTGTCATGTTCAAGTACATGTTAGCATAACAATAGATACTATCCTCTTTCCATGCAGACTGAAAGGAAAGCACATGAAACAATATATAAATTCAAATAAGGAAAAGTATTGTTAAACAGAAAATTGAATCAAGTTTAAGTTTTTGACTTTTGGATTCCAGGCACAAGTAAGGGCTCGACTGTTCTAAGGTAATAATTGACACCCTTCATGAAGGTTAACAACACAGGATTCTCATTTAGATAATAAAACCATTCAACAAGAATGAAACTGTCATATTCATACTTTTAAACAAGACTGAACAAGCTGGACATAGAAAAAAGTGAAGAGTGTATGACATGCTACTTTTTAGACACTTGATCTAAGCCTAGTAGCCCTTCTCTCCTTTTATTTTTTGGGGGGGCGGGGGGGGGGGAAGAGAACCCAAGTAACATGGTTAATCCCAAATCCCACATATGCATTGTTAGAATTGAAAATATTTAACCTTTTAAAGCATGTAATGCTATCTATAAAAATGTTCTTCAACATTTTGAAAGAAAAAAGAAAGCAACACTGAGTTTTCATCAAAATATTCAACAGTATGAACATATGCCAAATATTCATATTGAGCACAAGAGACAAGATTTTAATATTCAAAAAGAGAAACATGATCAATTTTTACCTCCTCAGGTGATGCTGGCTCTAGAAAACCTGTGATAGAATGACTGATTGGTAGTTGCTTGAAAGGTGGCGTACCTTGCCCATAAGATTTTTCATCTACCACCGTTGGATCTGAAAACAATCTAGCAAGTGACTGTTGAAAAGAAAATAGAGACCCACCATAACTGCCATGCTTAAGAAGTCTACGTCTTCTTTTCTCTCTGGCCTTGTATATTTTCCAATCTGAAACCCAAAGCTGTGAAAGAAAATCTCTAGTCAGATGAGGATCCTTCTCAATGTTGTGTCCATAATGTCGATATACAGTGAAAGAACACTGTTTTGGCCAAAATAACTTTGTTGATGAGATGAGGGTTTTTTGAGAATCAAGTGGCGGTGCAGTATCCAGTGCTAGACCTTTGTGCTGCAACAACATTGCAGTTGAAGGAAAACCTGTTTGAGAGTGGATGTTGTGAAAGAGGCAAAACTTTGCATTGTCAAGAGCATGGTTTGGATGTATCTTTGTAGTAGACAACTCCTTAAGCTTGGAGGCACAATGTGATCCCACTCTCCAATTCATTTAGGCTTCGTTTGGGAATCTATTATAAAAATATATAAAATGTTAATTAAAATAAATATTAAATATATTTTATATTATTTTGCGACATTAAAAGACCAAAAAACCTACAGCTACAACTACAACCCAGCACTCCCAAACTAAGCCTTAGACAGAACAAGTGATTCTAGTATCTGTTAAATTGAATGCAATCCAAATTATCCAATTAATTAGGTCAACATATAGTATGGCAGCAAAGAACTTCAAATTTAATTAGGATACCAAAACAAGAATGATTTGTTTCAACAATTGATAAAATGAAGGAAAATATAAAAATCAGAAATATATCCCTGATAATCTGAAAATGGACCAACAGCATAAGACAAAGATGATGAATTTCCCAACCGCATAAGATTGATTTTCCGAATTCTGTTGTGGGATTGAGAAACAATTGCTATCAGTGTTGTCAATGGCAGCCATACCCGCCACTTAATGGATGGCAGCCACTATTTATGCTATTTTGCAATTGTGTTTAAAAGACATAAACAACTCTAATTCAACTAATTAGATTCATTTTTTAAGGGTAGATTAATCTTTTTAATTTCATTTTATTAAAAAAAAAATCATAGAAAAATAACCCAAAGTTAACCCTAAATCCCCAACATCAATCTATTCTATTTCACTTTTCTCCTCTCCTGACATCTGCGACCAAAACCCCACCTCACATCAGGTACTTTAACTTCATCCATCTGCAACTCTTCTCGTCCCATCTATTCTTCTTTTCCCACTTATTCTTCCTCATCCTCCTCTTTTTCCTCCCTTCCCTTCTTGATTTGCAATTTTTAAAACTATCTTCTTCTTCTTCTCCTCTTTCCTCCCTTCCCTTCTTGGTTCTCCTATTACCTTTCAGACTTTTTTTTGGGCTCTAATTAAACCAAGCTGCTTGTGAGTAGCTTGGCTCAGGCTCAACTCGTTCAGTAAAAGAGTTGAGCTTGAACTTGAAATTGAGCTCGATAAATTATTGAGCATAGTCGTTGAGCCTGCGAGCTACTTATCTAACTTTAAAAAAATAATAATAAATTAAACATAAAATTTAAATATATAATATTTTATTATTAACTTTATACATTAAGTTAGATTATAATGGTAGTTTACATAACATAACAGCCCTAAATTGAGTAACAATAAAAAAAAAAAATGGCTTTTGGCCTTATAAATTGAGTAAGCTAACTAACTTTAATTAAAATGTCCTACGTAACAATAATTATACTTAATTGAGTTATAAGCCTGAGCTTGGTAAATCAATGAGCTCAAGCCGAGCTCAAGCTTGCTTGATTTAAGTCAAGCTCAAGCTTGAGCTCAACTTTGGTAGGCTCAATCAGGCTCAGGAACATAAGAGAAAACCTTAATGGGGAATAATTAAGGAAAAAAAATGAAGAAGAAGAATAAACCAATGAAATCTCACGCCCTAGAAAATTAATTAAAAACCCAAAATTCAATAAATCTATCTCCTTCATTCTCTACTCAAATCAAAGAAATGAAAGAATGAACAAGAAATCCATGTCCAACCATGAGGGAACCCAAAATCTCATTTCACCTTTTAGCTAATAAAAAGGCCAGAACATGGCAAGAACAGTCAGCTTACTCGAATGAAAATCAGCAGCAATTAGGAAACCAAAACAGGTGGGTTTTCCCAGCTATAACAGTGCAGAAAATTGCAGAAAGTTTCAACTAAAATGTTGTCAGAAAAACAGTAGAATAAGTGCAGAAAACACATGATTTAAAGCAGATTTGGCTGGAAAATATGTTTCATAGTAGCACAGAATTTTCCCAAGCAAAGCACACCTTTCAGGAGCTTGAACAAGGTAGAAACAAGTCTGGGACAGTGAGGATAACACATATTAAATAAAAAAAAATAAATTACATTTTTTCTGGTTCAATTTGCAATCAAAGAACCAGCAGGTTTTTGTGCAAGAAAAAGGGAAAGACTCACCAGAAAAGAGCAGCAGAACTGAGCATCCCTTGCACCCATTTGTAGAGAACCTTAACCCCCAAATTAAAAGACTTAATAGAGGCAAAAGAAAGGGGAAGTGCCAGAGTGTAAAAAAAAAAAGAGTAGGAATGGTACACATCAGCATGTAAGAAAATGTCATCTCATCTTGAGTCGTAATGGGTAAACAGATTACTGAGTTGTAATGACATCAACCATTAAATAATGGGTGATTTATCCAAATTGACCAATTAAAGGTGTGATTTGTCCCTCTATTTTGTTTGACGGCAGATCTGTCACTACCCTATTTGTGGCAGATTTGGGGTCTGGCCTAATCCTATAATCTACCAGTCAAAATCAGTGCTTAATCTGCTTTCCATCTTATTGTTTTTCTTAATAGGCCTATTATTTATAAATTAAATTTATTTTTTTTTATGTGTGCCATTTGTCAATAGTGGTCGCTATGCTATTATACCGGATTCTGCTTTTCTGCTATTGGCTGCTATTTGTTACTGACCACACTAACTGCCACTACCATTCAGCCTACAGCATACAGCTTAAACGAGGAAAGAATAAATAAAGGCAGCCAAACGTTTTGCATTGATTGAAGGGTCAATAAAGAAGAATGGCTCAAAAAGACTAGTATGCATTTTTGGATTTCTGCTGCAGGTGTGGTTGTTCTTTTTGCTATCATCAAAAACAATGTTATTATTCCATACTAATTAATTATTTTTTAAAAGTGTTATAGATCTGTATTACTAAAATTTATAAAATATTAACTAAAATTAATTTAATCATAATAAATTAACATTTTTAGTAGTGCATAAGGATGCATAAAAGCGCTTCGGAAACAGCCTTGTCACGGACTTATTTTGACCAAACAATTTGTCAAAAGCCATTCTAATTCTAACACACTAAACAAAATCAAACATAACAAAGACCTAACTGAATTACAACTCAAAAACAAGGCATGAGCAGCAAGAACAAACTCCAGACATTCCATTCATTCAAAAACAGCCCTGAGCCAAAAGAAACGGGGCATGAAAAAAATTACGAGGAACACAGCAAGAGAAACAAGACAAAATGAAAAACATGGTACATACATAACAATACAGATTACAAAAAACACAGTCAGAAATTAAAGCTCATTATTCATCATAATGCAATAAAAACACAAGAGCAAACATACTCATCTTAAACCAAATAAATTAACTCAGAATCTGTAATAGTTAAGCAAAGATAATAAATTTAGCATACGTAAGAGTTGTAAAAAATATCAGCAAATATTTGCTAACTCAAGAACTCATTTTCCAATCGGAATGCCAAGATCACCAGAACTCAAAATTTTATAAGGGGAGAGCTCAAGTATGTGAACCTGTATGAGCTCTGCAACACCCGAACAACTCTTAGAACGGCTTGATGACAGCGATAAACTCAAACTAGAGGGCCGGAAATCAGCGACGGATGAAAATCATCAGCAGCCTGTGTCCGAGCCTTCTTCCCATTCTCCAGGTTGCTTTTGGAAATCTCCGAAAATCAATTTCACGAGCGGTCTCAGTTAAGGATGTCGAAGTGGAGTTCGGTTGCCCAATCAGATAAGAGTCCACGAGGTCCAGTCGGTGAAACTGAAGCACATGGAGTCAGCGACAACGCAGAGAGAGTACGATGATCATGAAAAATGAATGTCTCCACTCCAAGTGAGAGCGGCAGAGAGGAAGAGAATCCAGGGACCGCCGACGGTTGAGAGAAGCCAGAAAGCCGATCGGGGTGATGAGGTGCGCTGGCGTTGATTGGAGTCGTCCCTGGCGAAGAGCGGCTGGTAGCAATGATAGGTCAAAGAGCAAAGCCAGGAAGTGTGTGCGGCGGTGGTATGTGTTTCCAACAAGGATTCAGTGAAAGAGAAGAAGGGGACAGCAAGGGTTGGGTGGAGGAGAGGAGAGGAGAGGGGAGGTGAGGTGCAAGGCGGAATTAATATCTCGATATGTGATGGAAATGAAAGGAGAGAGACGGAGGGTTGCGGCGGAAGACGGAAGAGCCGTCGGTGGCTGACTGGGTGTCGAGAACCGGCAGCGTGATCGGCGATGGAGTGAGGGTATAAGGGGTTTAGTAAAACAAGAAGAAAGTCTCCTATACATCCGATACCACGTGAGATGGCATTCCCAATCCAATCAATCAACGAAAATATATAAAAGTTAAATGCTAAATTTAAGTCCCTCAACTTTTAATTTTGAATAGATTTTAACCCTTAGCTTTTTTTTACACTTTTTTCTTCCTAACCTTGAAAAATACACATTGTGTATATAGAGAAAATTACTAGGAAAAGTTATTAGGTGGATTTAATATGAAAAAAAGTTATAAAGAAACATTATTTTTTTTTTCAAAATACATGTGGAAAAAACATTATGAATTGAAATTTTTGTTAGGGAAAATAAATACTTAAAGAAAAATTTAGAAAAGTTTAGAAAAAAAAAAAAAAACATTACTCCCCAACCAAACACTCACTTAAAATAGGGTTATTATTAAAGTTACACGAATTTATTTATAGTTTTAAACTCAACTCTATATGGTTTGGCTACTAAACAATTATTTTTTTATTTTAGATTTTATAATATAAAATAATTTTTTCTCAACTTATTTATATGTTATATCATGTAACTTATACTTAAAATTTTTTATTTGTATTAAAAAATTATCATTAAATTATTTATATGTTTGATAATTACTAAATAATTGATGATTTATAAAATAGTTGATATTTATTTTTTAATAAATTAAAAAAATTATAAATTAATATTTTTAGATATAATAAACAGACGTGTAAAAACTATAAACAAATAAGTTGACTGGCCATTAGCACGCCAGAAGATCTAACCCCAATTACGTACCAAAAGAAAAATTGATCTAACCCCAATTGATCCATTGCCTTCAAACCGCCCAAACTAGGAAGCAGGGTCCGGAGACACTGAACTGCGAGGAAATTAAAAAAATAAAACTTGGATCTTCGGAGTTCGGACTCAAAGAGAGAAAAAGGGTATGCTTTGGTTTGCGTCTGATTGATTCTGAAGACTGTCCCATCATCGCTGGAGTTTAAAGGTCAGGAGGAGGAAGCCTCCCTAAATTGCTTCGATGAAGAATACCCAGTTGTAGAATTCAGAAAGGAATCGATTTTCCCATAGAATCCTCTGCTCTTCTCCAGAGCCCAAGCATGGCTGACTCGGTCAATGTTAGTTCTCTGCTGCTTATATTTTCTGCGTTTACCTTAAAGTTCATAGTTTATAGAGAGGGGTAGAGAAGATGATAAAGAATTTTTAGGAATTTGAAAACGTAGATGGAAGTGGGTTTTCTTTGTGGGTGCCTTGGGAAGCAAACTTCTTTGCTCGATATAGACTTCTATAATCTTGGAATAGAATGTTTCAGTAAGTTATCTCATGTTAATAATCAAGGCTACCTGATTAGTTATGTGCCTTATGGTATCTATTGTCTCTTAATATAATTTAATGCAAATGTTAAGAAAGGAAAACTTATTGTCACAGGATGACATGGGATGGGCTTAATAATTCCAAATTAGGAAGACTAGAGTTGATATCTTTTGGTATGGTTAGGCTGGAAACCATGATTGAAGGAGGCTTGACGAAGGGCATAGTCCATTTTGTCTCCTTTAACTAATTTTCTAGGTTCGTTACTTTGTTGTGGTAGATAAGGATTGGAATGTGGAATTGTTCTGTGGATAAGCCATCTGATACATTGAGAAGAAAGTGAAGCATGAAACACAAGATGATATTTTAAAAAGGGGGATTAGATTCTTTGTAAATTGAATATATGATAGAAATGTTGCAAATGTTTTTGGATAAATATGAAAAGAAATGTAACTGTACATTTACGTAGGAGTTCCTCACCAGGAACTTGGCATTTTGAGATTACGAAACAGAAGCCATCTCTATAAGATTGGGATTCTAAAGTATCTATATGTTGCAAATTGCAACTTCTACTTTAAAAAGTAACCCTCTACTAATCATTGAATTTACTTTCTAGGCATTGGACAAAGACCTTTTGTTTGTCTAGCTCTTAAATATAATTTCCTTTATTATTATTTTTTTTTTAACAACCAAGTTTTTAAATAATATTGTTGATTTTAACACAAATGTAAGGAGAAATAAGAATTTATGTTTTATCATTTTTCATTGTCATTTTGATTAGGTCATATAAAATTGGGTTTGGCCTAACAAAGGAACTATAATTTTTAACAAAAGAGACATTATGAGAACAAGCTAGACATATAATAGGAATAAGGAATTTTTTAAGCATTTGGACTGTGGAGGGTCTGTTAGACATGCAATCTTATCTACAAATGGGTAAATCAATTTAAATGATAAAATCAATGAAAAGATGCTTCTCTAAACAGATTTCATATTTAGGAAAGTACATGCAGTCTTGGAGAATGAAGAAAAACAAAAAAATCAATAATGAACAACCAGATGTCCAGAAAGAGGAACAGGAGTAGCTACTTTGTGTCTCAATCTCAGATATCAAGATTGAGATGGGGATGCTAATTGTTCCATTGGTATGCACAGCATAGTGAACTAGTTAACCCCTTCCCCCTTAAGCAAAGTCTGTTTCATGTTGGATTATTTTATGTGTAGGGCCATTTTGTAACCACGGTCACTGAGGATAATGAGACTACATGCTGGGGTTGTGGATTGCGGCTTCTTCTACCATCTTATGCACCTATTTTCAAGTGTGGTTGGTGTGGAGCAATAACAAATGAAAATGTTGGCAAACCTGAAAGAAAGTACCATTGGTGGAGATGCTTGCGTGATCGGTGCTTTGTTTTTACACTCTGTGTGTTCGTGCTCTTTGTAATATGTATGCCACCCTACCTCCCTCTCTTTCTTTTAGAAAAAACTAATTGGATGGTGATATTTGTGCAGTTTTTGTTTATTAGTTTATATTGATATTTCCCTAAGATTACATAGATTAAATTTGTTATAATTTATAAATTAAAATATGGTGATTTACCTTGTAAAATTTTTTGAATTTTTGTCTGATATAGAATCTAGACTCTAGAGTTTCTTTAATGACTCAATTAAACTTGTCATAGCTTAATCATAGTTATTTCTATTCATTGGCTCTTTGTATTCTTCTTTTAATCACTCTTGCTTTTAGGGGCATGTGTGGGATATAGGCTTGATAGCATAGTGAAGCATGTTCTAAGTCGTTCAACCCAGGCCATTGGCTTTATTATGCTTTTGGTTTAGGTAGAATCTAGGGCTAAAAGTTATGTGCTCACAGGGCTTTAGAGTTAAAATGATTAGATTGTTTTTTCATAGAGTTCTTGCATGCTTATCAACTAGTAGGGTTTCTGAACTCTATACTAATGCTTCACTCTAGATTTTTTATGTGTAATACAAATGGATCAAGTACAGTGGGAGATGGTTGAGATGCTTAATAAATATCACTACCACCCATCCAGTTAAAGGAAAAATTAAGGAAGAAATTGTGTGAGAAAGGTTGAACCTTAAGTCTAATTTGAAGGCAGTATGTGCCAATACAGTAAGGGCCTGTTTGGTGGTGCTTCTTGGAGCTTTTACTTTTTTTGTATTGTTTATGAGTGATAAGTTTAAATTTTTATTCGAGGGAAAATTTAAAAGTTGCTTTTAGAGATAGGAAAAAGTGAGTAAAAAATGAGTAAAAAGGGAGTTTATAAAAAGCTTGGATTTGAAGCTTTTGAGGTTTTACTGTTTGAGGTCTTTTTAAGGTTAAAAAAAAGTTTTAAAATGTAAGCTTTTAAGAGGGAAATTTAAACTTATGAAACATGAATAGTGTCAAAAAGCTGAAGCTCCTAGAAGTAGAGCCAAACAGGCCCTAAGTTTGTTTTCCTCTATTTTTATCCTTTTAAATTGTTTAGGATAAAATGCTGAAGAGATTGCTAGATAGTGGGGAGCTGTTGGCAGATTTTGTGTAGTTCTGTGATTTCTGTCAATTTTTTCCATCCTATTTGCTGCCTCATGTTGGACATATTTGTATCTCTGTCAGTTTTCAATTTCTTAATATTGGTACATTCATTTTGATCTAGAGTCTTTACACCTTGTACTTATCTTCAATGCAACAAGTTCTTTGTTATCTAAATTACTTACTTTGCATTATTAAGATATCTACCATGTTTTAATACGATAACGTTAAAGTACAGGTGGTGGGGTATGGGCGGTGTACCCAGTTGTTTTCTCTATCAGCTATGCTTGTGGGATTTTCCACTGCATCATTACAATAATCTTGTCAATAACTACTATATCTACCTTCAGCTTAGCTGCATTTCGCTGTGCCGGTGCACCACCAATCGTAGTCTGGGCCAGCTACCCTGCTGTGGGAAAAGGTGACCTTGAAAATTATACCTTTTGTCATTATTGTTCAAAGCCAAAGTCGCCTAGAGCCCATCACTGCCGTTCATGTGGAATGTGCATACTGGATATGGACCATCACTGCCCTTTTGTAAGTATTAAATTTCTTTCCAATATTGAAATGAGTTATTGTCCTTGGCATTATTACTTAACATAAAACTATTTGCTTTCCATTTATAGCATGTTAAGGGGCACTGCAATACAAACTAACCCTTTGTTTGGTTGGTGGAAGTAACTTCCTGGATATCATCACTAACATGACTTATTAATGCATACAAGGGAAGTAAAATTCCTGGAGAAAGGATACTCTTTGAAGAAAAGGAAAAATGTATCCTTTTTCTATGTCAAGTTATTTTACTTCTCATGTACAGATTCATGAGCATGTTGCCTATGGTTTTTTTCAATTCATTTCTGGCAAATCAAACAGAGACCAAATTGTTCTTTTTTCCTATTAATCTCCTTTTCTTTTTGTTTAGATAATTGCATAAAACACTGATTCTTTCTGCAAATTTAGTGAGAGAGAAATTAAGATAACATCATGGGATCATTAAGCAATAAATGAAAAGATACCAAAGGAACACAATCAAATTTGTTGCAACAATAATTTTGCATTCTATTTAGTCCCCTTTTTGTCAGGGTGGTGGGATAAAAGAGGTGTAAGGTAAGTTAGGTAACTTTTGCCTAACTAGAATTCATTAAGGAGTAATGTCATAACTCTTTAAACACTTTCTTCTATTGCAAACCGTCCTTTAGGTCCTTATTTGGGCTAGATTTAGCTCTTTTGTCAACTTCCATTGACATTCATTGGCTGACAACATTGACTGACAGTTTTAAATAATATTAAAAACTCAACATTCATTCATTCACAGACATAATTGTCCTCTTACTTAATTCCTTCTTTTACTTAATTAACAAAAAACTATGTTTAATGTTATTGTCCTAATTTAACTAAATTTTAATTAAAATTAAATAATAAACCTTTTATTTAAATTACACATATGAAGTGCTTATGTTAATGTGCTAATGCTTGAAGATTAAATATGGTATTTAGACTATTTAATTCTTGGAAGAAATGAGGGAACTGTTAGATTATATTGATGCAGGTTTTTTTTCTTTGGCAAACTATTGTGATGCAGTTAAATTGCTAGATTGTTGGGCAAATGTCTTGGCCTTATTATTTTTCCAACTAACAGTCGTTAATTTTTGCTTTATGATATAATGCAGATAGGGAATTGTGTTGGTGCAGCAAACCACCGGTACTTCATCGCCTTTCTCTTCACAGCTATCATCAGTTCAATCTATGTTTCCATCATGTCTATATATGCTGGATTGTATATCTGGCCATCACTGCCATATAGATCTGTTGGGCACATGAATGGAAGTGGCAGGGCTTTGGCTTTTAGGGCAGTGAAGGAAGTTGTGATTGCTTTGCTTGACTCTGCTGTGCTTCTGTCTGCCAGAGGGCTTGTTCTTGTCTATCTGCTTGTTTCAAGTGCTTCAGTGGAGCTTGGGTTAAGCATCCTTCTGTGGCAGCAACTCTGTTATATATATGAGGGGGAGACTTATCTGAGCCATCTAAGTTCGCGGGGAGGTGATGGGAGTAAAGGTAGAGATTGTAGAAACATTTTTCGGTTTTTCGGTTTTCCATATTCTATCTTGAAATACTTTCCTAACACCCGCAGTGCATGAAAGAGACATAAGAAGTAAATAAGATATGTAGTTTAAATTGTTGACAATTTATTTTACTTGTCAATTTTCATTTTCTTGTGAGTTCCAACTTTTTTGAGAAGAAAGACGATTTCATTCATAGAACATTGTCTATACAAACTATTACACTAAACCAGCATCTGC